TTTTGTCTGTGAATGAATTAACAGAAATAACAGTAACAAAGTCTTACTGCAGTCTCCCATGTAAGCTGTAGATCTAATCACACACTGCAAATTCTATCCAGTTACTTTCAAGCTTTGGTAGAAGATACTCTAGATAGAGAGAAGACACTCAGTCTTTCTTATAGGCCCCCTTTAAGTACTAGAAGGCTACTACAAGGTCTCCCTGGAGCCTTCTCTCCTCCAGGCTGAACAACCCCGACCCTCAGCCTGTCCTCACAGGAGAAGTGCTCCAGCCCTCTGAGCATCTTCGTGGCCCTGCGCTGGACTCACTCCAACAGGTCCATGTCCTTCGTATGTCGGAGAGCTCCAGAGCTGGATGCAGTACTCCAGGTGGGGCCACTGTATGAAAAGATTGTATTTGTTCTGATAGGGCAAACTTTACTCTGTAAATCAATGAGCACTGCAAATTCTATCCAGTTACTTTCAAGCTTTGGTAGAAGCTACTCTAGATAGAGAGAAGACACTCAGTCTTTCTTATAGGCCCCCTTTAAGTACTAGAAGGCTACTACAAGGTCTCCCTGGAGCCTTCTCTCCTCCAGGCTGAACAACCCCGACCCTCAGCCTGTCCTCACAGGAGAAGTGCTCCAGCCCTCTGAGCATCTTCGTGGCCCTGCGCTGGACTCACTCCAACAGGTCCATGTCCTTCGTATGTCGGAGAGCTCCAGAGCTGGATGCAGTACTCCAGGTGGGGCCACTGTATGAAAAGATTGTATTTGTTCTGATAGGGCAAACTTTACTCTGTAAATCAATGAGCTGCTGTCTTTACTGTGTAAGCAGATAAAATCAATTGTACAAGCAAAGGCTTAGGTCTTCCCACTCCTTTTTAGTCAGCAGGGAGATCCAAACTCAGCAGCACCTGGATGCTATCAATGAGGTATGCAGCTAGCTAAGATAGCAGTTTTCCATGTTCATTTTTGACCCCACCAGTACTTCACAAATTTCATGCGACAAACCCCAGTTAGAAATGAAATGGTACAATTATGTACTATGCCACAGCAGCTTATGACAAGCTACAAGCTAAACAACAGAACAAAAGACTGCCTGTGGCTGCCACTTTTGTAAATCCAGACAAATTTTAGAAATTGCAATTCCAGAAACACCATGAATTGGAAAAGGTGGCAAGGTCCATTAGATATAGAGTATCAATACTACTACTTTCACTGCCACTACATCAGAGAATCGTCCAGGTTGGAAAAGACCCTTGGGATCATTGAGTCCAACCATCAACCCCACTCTACAAAGTTCTCCCCTACACCATATCCCCCAACACCACATCTAAACGACTCTTAAACACATTCAGGGATGGTGACTCAACCACCTCCCTGGGCAGCCTATTCCAAACATCCTCAATGTTGTAAATGCTGTCTGCATAATTTTGTGGACTATCGCCTTTAGTTCCAAATTTTATTCCATTAAAAATGCCCAGGCTGTTCATTTCCCTCTCTCTGCTCCCACTCAAAAGCAGTGAGAGGGAAGTGTAAAGAAGCTGTATGTGGACTTTATCATCATAACAGGCAGCCAAAAATACAACTGGCCTAGATCCTCTGAGCCTCAGGCTTATGTTCCCAGCATTCACTGGCCAACTGACTCACTCTGAAGCATCTGCTCCAACAATAGTTGCCTTGGACCTCATTTCCCATTGTATCATCGCAACGTGCACCAGAAGAAAAGATACAGCATTAGGAGAGAGATGGGAGTAGGGAAGGAATGGAAAGACTCTTGTCTGCCTGAGAGCTTTTTTTAGGAAGGCACAGTTCACTGCTTTCCTCTGATCATAGAATCATTGAGGTTGGAAGAGAAGTAAAGAAGCTGTATGTGGATCTGCTTGGTTTTATCATCATAACAGGCAGCCAAAAATACAACTGGCCTAGATCCTCTGAGCCCCAGGCTTATGTTCCCAGCATTCACTGGCCAACTGACTCACTCTGAAGCATCTGCTCCAACAATAGTTGCCTTGGACCTCATTTCCCATTGTATCATCGCAACGTGCACCAGAAGAAAAGATACAGCATTAGGAGAGAGATGGGAGTAGGGAAGGAATGGAAAGACTCTTGTCTGCCTGAGAGCTTTTTTTAGGAAGGCACAGTTCACTGCTTTCCTCTGATCATAGAATCATTGAGGTTGGAAGAGACCCTTGGGATCATCGAGTCCAACCATCTCCCCTACTCTACAAAGTCCTCCCCTACACCATGTCCCTCAGCACTGCATCTAAACGGCCCTTAAACACAGCCAGGGATGGGGACTCCACCCCCTCCCTGGGCAGCCTGTTCCAATGCCCGACCACTCTTTGGGTGAAAAATTCCTTCCTAATGTTCAATCTAAACCTCCCCTGTTGGAGCTTGAAGCCGTTCCCTCTTGTTCTGTCACTAATTACCTGTGAGAAGAGACCAGCACCAACCTCTCTACAGTGTCCTTTCAAGTAGTTGTAGAGAGTGATGAGGTCTCCCCTCAGCCTCCTCTTCCTCATACTAAACAGTCCCAGTTCCTTCAGCCGTTCTTCATATGATTTGTCTTCCAGCCCCTTCACTAGTTTCATGATTTGTCTTGCCACCCAAGTACTCCAGAGCAGAGTGACAAAATGAGAAGATATTAACACCACACAAGGGAAGGGTGAGCAGTGGGCCCAGCATTCACAGGGGGCATGAATCACAGCCAGGGATTTGAAGACAATGCACAAAGTTTCCCACTCCCAAACCTGGGAGGCAGCACCCAAGCAAACATGGGCCAAGGTAAAGGGGCTGCACTGGAAGCAAGGAAGGGGCATGAACACGTAGAGCTTTGCTATGAACCATGCAAGGAGACAGTGGAGAGCTACAGGTCAGAATCAGAGAGGAGACCAGCAAAGACAGGTGGATACCTGCTACAGGTTGTTGGATGAGGAAGAGGAGCGGTTGGAGGCTCATTCAAACAACCAGAAACCACTTCACGACTGCAGGTCTTGACTCTCACAGGGGACTTCAGATGTCCTGATGTCTGCTCAAGCAGACACAGAGGAGCACAGGCAATCCCGAGTGAGTGCCCTGGTGACATTTCTTTACCAGAGGTGCCAGACAGGCCAACTAGAGCAGGTCTTCTGCCGGATGCATTACTCACTGGCAAGACAGAACTGGTTGGGAATGTGGCAGCTGATGGCAGCGTGGGCTGCGGTGACCACCAGTGACAAAGCTTAAACTCTGAAGGAAAGCCAGAAAGGCAAGAGGCAGAAGAGAATCTTGGCTTTCAGGACAATAGGCTTGTTTGGGGCACACATGAAGCTGTCCTGACGTGAAAAGGTGCCCGGGAGAGGCCAGTGATCCATGAGGACAAACTCCCCAGTGCTCTGGAAGCACCTTCCCCAATGTGCATGGGGAAGTCGAGCAGGCCTGGCAGAAGGCTAGGTCACCTGCACAGGGAGCTTCGGCCTGAACTCCACCACAAAACCCAAATGAATGGTCAAAATTGAGATGAATACAGAAACCCTCCTCAGGCACGCAAGAATGGGATTGGCAAAGAAAAGGCTCATCTTAATCTAAAAGTAGGAAGAGACTCAAAGAGCAACAAGGGTTTTACTGCTGCGGTAGCAGCAAAAAGAGAGGAGGGAGAAGGGAGGAAGGAAAGGGGGAAGGAAGGGGAGAAGGAAGGGGAGAAGGAAGGGGAGAAGGAAGGGGAGAAGGAAGGGGAGAAGGAAGGGGAGAAGGAAGGGGAGAAGGAAGGGGAGAAGGAAGGGGAGAAGGAAGGGGAGAAGGAAGGGGAGAAGGAAGGGGAGAAGGAAGGGGAGAAGGAAGGGGAGAAGGAAGGGGAGAAGGAAGGGGAGAAGGAAGCTCTTTGCCTGCTGCCAAACGTGACAGACGCAAAGGACTTGGTTTATCCTGAGCCATCAGTTACACTTGCTTTGAAAGTCACAGACCCACCAAAAAAAGGAAGCAAAGTATACAAATGCTCTGATAAAATACTATCCTGTGTTTTATCTAATAAATTATTATTAAAGTGTTAATTCTAATAAATTTAATATTATGTGTTATTTCTAATAAATCATTCTTTTAAAAATCAACTATTTCAGAACTGTTTATCACAGGAATTGTATTTAATGTGTTAGACAGTGACCTCACAGATTAACAATCATGATTCTCCTCTCTCAAGGGAAAAAAAGAGGGAAAAAGAGAAGGGCTAAAAAATTCTGATGTTACGAATTCAAAACCATGGTTTTTTGCCTACATATTAAAAACTAAGTGTTAAAGCAACCTGGAGACAAGTTAAATAGACAAGGTATCTTTGAATAATACATAATTGTAAGGCACAAAAGACAGTTTAGAAAGCTTATAAGTGGTATTTCCACTAGAATTCATTGCTTACCTTTTAGCTCGTTAACTATTGCATTCCCCAGCACAACTGTTCTAGTTCCACCACAATTGTTCTAGCTTAGAACATCAAAAACCTATATAAAATCTTCTTCTACAATATGGAATATTCAACATTAGCATTGATCATCTATTAAGAACAGTATTATCCCAAATAAAGTGTAAAATCCCCAGTACACCACCACACGCACATACATTTACTAAAGATAGTTCCTACCTAAGGAGGCTTACGGTTTACATGGGATTAGAGTTCCACACTCACAAAACTCCCAAGCATTTCAACAAAGAGTGCTTATTTTAACAACTCAGATGATAAAGATTCACCATTTCCTCAGTGACAAAACACTCAGGAACTTCCTTTGGTCACCGTAAGTTGGAATAATGTAGATAGCAACAATGCAAACTTGCAAAGGAATCTGCAGCCAAGGCAATTATGGCTGAGCTACACAGATCTGTTTGTGATCATACTTTCATTCTATACAGTATGTCAACTTCCATAATTTAAACCATAAAATTCATATGAAATATGCAAGCTCAGTCCAGAAGATGGTCAAGTCCCATTAACTACACGTTTCAGCACGTCGTTCACATATGTTAATCGCTTACCAAAAGTTTGTTACTTACTTTCCATCCACTTCTGGTCTTTTGCACACACAGTGAAACTTGCCACCGAAATCTATATAAAGATCATCTTCGACCACATGGAATATTCGACCAATGGCAATTTTATCTTTGCTGGGTCCCATCTGAATTAAAGGAGAGCGTCTCAACATGGATGCAAAGGACTCCGATTTCTCTGAAGGAACCTACAGATTAAAAAAAAAATAAATTCACAAAACATACTATCTGAAGGAGGAATTTAATTAAACTTATAACATACAAAAAGGCTTTTTTCAAGCCAGCAGAAGAACTAAACAGAACAAAATAAACAAGCAATTAAAGGTTGAGAGATCTTTTGGTTTCAACAACACACTTTCCCATTGATTACCTCAAGTGGAGGCTGAAAATCCATCTATATTTCATATGAACAGAGAATCCATAATTTTCCACGTGTATATTTGGGAACTTTTATTCTTGGGGAAGCCAAAGCAAGAGACAGTTCTGGATTCCAGCTCTGCTGGAAGGCACAAACAGCACGGGTTGTTCTGACGTGACATAGCCACAGGAATTACAAGCTAGAGATCTGGCACCTGGCAAAATTGCTGTTTCAGAAACAGGAACTGTTAAATGTAATATTCCAAGGACAAGGGCTGAAGAAAGTGCAACATGTGCACATGTGTGTGCACACATCCCCCCCAAAAAGGAAAGTGGCTGGTGATGGTAAACCACAAACAGAGCAGGAGGATTTGATACAGGAAAGCTAATATCAGGTAAGGTTCCAAACATAGGATTGTTTGTATGTCACAATGCAGTCTAAATTCAAATATGTGAAAATCAATTGTACACCATAAATTTATAAGTGCTCCAAGAATAAATGCTAAATAGTGGAAACAGTAAGGGGAAGTATATAAATGAGATTTATAATATGAATTGAAGGGGCAGCAGCAATCTAGATGCAACTTCAGCTCAATGTGTAAACAGTAAGCTAGAAGTAAACATTTCAAAATTAACATCCCCTCAAAATGACTCTGTCTGGGCAGGAGATTACAAATCACTCCTCATATTGAAATGTCCAAACCTGTTTTAAGGGAAACTGAGGTACACTAAAGTGCAAAATTCATTGGTCTTCCACTGACTCACTACAGATTACAGAATCACTCAGTTGCCTTGGAATTCAACTGCTTGTCCCTGTAAAGTCATAAACGCTTTTCCATCATCCCATATGCTCATAAGCATAGCTTTCAAAGAGGATACATCTTCTCTCAGTTATACCTTGTCACCCAACACCAAGTTACAGCAGTCAAATACAACAAAACTTCACGGTCAACTACTTGATCCATTGAGCTGATCATTCAATCCCCTGCTTCCCTAACCAGCAGGTCCATGCACTTCTTATGTTGGGGGCCCCAGAGCCCAGATGAGGCCTCACCAGAGCGGAGTAGAGGGGCAGAATCACCTCTCTCCATCTCCTGGCCACGCTGCTTGAGCGCAGCCCAGGACACAACTGGCCTTCTGGGCTGCCAGAGCACACTGTCAGCTCATGGCCACCTTTTCATCCACCAGCACTCCCATGTCCTTCTCAGCAGCGTTGCTCTCAATCCATTCATCCTATGAAAATCAGGGAATCAGGGAATTGTCAGAGTCGGAAGGGACCTCTAGAAACCATCCAGGCCAACCCCCGGCCAAAGCAGGGCTGCCCAGAGCACATCACTCAGGAGCATCCAGGTGGGGCTTGAAGACCTCCCTCCCTGGGCAGCCTCTGCCAGGGCTCTGCCACCCTCACCCCAAACAAGTTCTTCCTCACATTGCAGTGGAACTTCCCATGGTCCAGCTTGTGCCCGTTGCCCCTCGTCCTGTCACTGGGAACCACTGATGGTCAACTCTAGTTAATAACATCCCCTTCCTTTCTCTCCCTGGCAGGAAAAAAATACAGATACAAAATTCTCCCATGTGCAAACTTGCCTGTGAAATAAGCTCTGTACATGACACACAAGTGATATCTCCACACCCTGAGAGATGTGCTCCTTCCTTACTAGAGCAGAGTTTAAACTCACTAAGACACAGATGTTAATGTACAAAGAAATCCTCAGCCATTCTTTATTGCGGACAGTTTTCCAAGAAGCAACAAGGAATCTGTTTGAATTTTATCACAGGTCTACAAATCTGCAGCATTCTCCATTCTGCTTTCTGGAGAGGAACTTCTCAAGAACACAAATATCTAATTTCCATATATAAGAATCCTCCAGAGACTCCACTGGTTACTGCCAAGAATTCTTTTGTGAAAGAAACAGTGAGCCAAAATACAGTATTTTCTCCAGTTTTCTGCATAACCTAAAGGAGATCTCATCAAACAATAATTTATCTCCAGCGTTTAAAGAGATTTAATGACATTTTGAGTACTTTCCTTCATGATTTCTCAATGGCCTTAATGAGATTCCTCACAGCAGCACTACAGAAAAACAGTAAGACAGTAAGATAATAGGGCAGCATAGAACATTAAGCTTCTACTTTTCTGATTCTGATAGGTAATGCATCAGTAAGAAGTGATGTTGCAAAAATTGGAGAATATTACAAAATTTAGAAGTACAAAGGGCAAATTCTTTTCAAGAACCTGAAGCATAAAGGTTTTTTTCCCCTCCTTCTTAAACACCTAACCTGTTTCATTATTCCTTCTAATTTCTAGGTTTTAAAGTTTTTCACAAATATTCGGATGCATAACAAGTTGCAAAAATTGGAGAATATTACAAAATTTAGAAGTACAAAGGGCAAATTCTTTTCAAGAACCTGAAGCATAAAGGTTTTTTTCCCCTCCTTCTTAAACACCTAACCTGTTTCATTATTCCTTCTAATTTCTAGGTTTTAAAGTTTTTCACAAATATTCGGATGCCTGTCACTTTCTGTGCACGTAGCTCAATAAAAAACAGTGGCTCTTGCAATAACAGAATACTCTTCAAGATGACATATATTAACCAGAAAGTGGAAAAAAATTCCTAGATTTAAAGCCCAGTAAAATCCAAATGAAAGAGGTAGCTCCAATGGAGGAATGTACCATGCTATTTCTGGAGCAAAGCCTATGACTATCCAAGCAGGGTGGTCCAAACCCACCCACTGAGCAACATGTCTCTAAAACCTTAGCTAGGTGTTTTCTGTTTGCTTGCAAAGACAAGCAGTGTGTATGCTGGAATGTGAGAGATACGGGTGAAACACGGAGAAGCGAGATGGGAGATGGGTAATCTGCCTGCTGCAATTAAGGGTGAATGATGTATTAACGTCAAGTAATATGCAAAGAATGCAACCCTCCGCCAACGATCAAATCTGTTCTCCTCAGCACTGTCAGCCATAGCTAGAAAGATTTTTCTGTCCAAAGTTAGTTACACAAAATAACAAAATGGGAAAATTGCTTTGCCATAACAAGTTTGCGTGATGCCACAAGGGCTGAAGGCCCAGCAGCTTAGATACTCAACACTTGACTGGAAAAGGCCCTGAGCAACCTGAACCAAGTCTGTCCTGCTTGAAGCAAGCGGTGTGAACAGACCTGAGATCATTTTCAACACATATTATTTCATTTAGCAAAGAGAGAAGACTGCGAGGCTTCTACAAAGAATACTAAAACAAACCCCAATACATGAGGCTACTCTTTGACCAGGTATATATTGATAAGGCACTTACTTCAACCACCAACTGAAGAAAATTTCACTGACCTCCTGAGATCACTTTCAACACGTATTATTTCATTTAGCAAAGAGAGAAGACTGTGAGGCTCCTATAACTGAGATCATTTTCAACACATATTATTTCATTTAGCAAAGAGAGAAGACTGTGAGGCTCCTATAAAGAATACTAAACCAAACCCCAATACATGAGGCTACTCTTTGACCAGGTATATATTGATAAGGCACTTACTTCAACCACCAACTGAAGAAAATTTCACTATCCACTAGTCCACCAGACCTTAATTTTCCATACCATGTAACTACTAAAAGTGTGCACTGTTGCTTAGACATAAACCTAAATCCTAGGAATTAAAAAATTGTTGTAGGTATTACTAGGGTAACAGGTGATAGTAATTCATGCAGTTCATGTACCAAATTCCTCTCTAGTGTACTTCTACTATTTTTCACTCGAATGCAACAAGCTGTATTTAAGTCAAAATTCCATTATGCAGAATATCCCCTTAAAGACAACAGGACCAACTCAGATAATATACCATAAAACCTGACATCCAACAGTTAATGGCCTTCCATCCAGAAGCAGTGTAACAAGCACATTCAAGACAACAAGACCAACTCAGATAATATACCATAAAACCTGACATCCAACAGTTAATGGCTTTCCATCCAGAAGCAGTGTAACAAGCACTATTCCTATTTGGTGGCATTATCCAAAGGGAAACAAACACGGTTACAGGAAGTTATAAGGGTAACAGTTGTCACACTTGGCAAAGAGCACTGGAAGATTTTGCTTGGCTACAGACACAATTTTTAAGCCAACTTCACATATTGAAATTACAATTTTTAAAAAAGTGTTTTAAATTATACTTTGATTGGAGATTAGGAAGGAATTACACTTGTATTTTAACAACAATGAAAAATTCACCATACAGTATTTTATATCAGTTTATGTTCATCAAAATCCTTCCATCAAGGAAGCTCCATATTTTGGTACTCACTGCAATGCTGGCTGATGAATATAGTACATTCCAAACCTAATTTGATTGTTGCATACAGAATAGCTTCTAACTAAAAGTATCTCAGCTGTGCAGAGAACACGCAATATACCTGTACGTACATATTTGAATATATATAGTCCTCATAATAATGAACAATGTAATATTGTGAACTAAGCACATTTTTAAAAGAGATGCAAATAACAGTTAACCAAATACATGTAGCGCTTAAACAGTAAAATACAATCCTTGTCTCTCATAATTACATTTTTCAAGTAGCATCATGCAGATCTCAAAAAAAAATAAATCACAAGAATAGTGCATAATATTCAACATGTTTTCCTGAATTGCACTTTTAATATCAAAACTTCTTTGTTGTCTAGAAACCTCTACATGTTGTTGCTAAAGCTATCTGTGCCTTTTGAAGATGGACATGTCTTAGGACTTATCATCGAGATGAAGTACGTGAATTGCTCTTCTAACTCATGAAAGAGCATAATTATTTCAAATACTTTGCAAAATGAGGTAAGTTACCAATGT